GATTTTAAGAGATTTAATTAGCCAATTCACTATAACAAGAATATTTTTATTATATTTGTTCAAAAAATTTGTTATATTAAGAGTTCATTATATCAAGAGTTAACAGTATAAATAAATTAAATAAATAAATATTAAATAATTAATTATAAATAAATTAAATAAATATGTAAAATAAATATATATATATATTCTTAAGAATTTTTAATATGAAATTTCAGTTTCTTCAAGTTTTTATTAAATTTTTAACCAAAGATTTATTAAAGTTTAAAAAGAATTTATATTTATTAATTATAGAAAATAAGAATTTTATGTGAATTCTAATTACAGAAAATTTACTAATAATTAAAAGATGTAAAAGTAATATAATATAATAGTAGGATTGATATAATAATATTGTAAAATATAATAATAATACAATATGATTTATATATATTATGTAAAATATATAAAATAGTTAGATTATGCATAATATTATTTTATTATACAATAAATAATAAATCATGTAATATTAATCTGATCACTATGATAATTTAAAGTAATTTTATTATTATAAATATATTGACTTAATAAGATAAAATTTATTTTTTTTATAAATAAATATCTTTTATATAATTTATAAATAATATAATAATAAATTATTTAAATTGTTATTTTTATATTAATTAAATTAATTTATTATTTTCTTAAAATAATTTTTTTTAGCTTTTATAAAACAAATATATTAAAACAAATTATTTATATCTTTTAATTAATTTTTTTATTAAAAAATATACCTTTTATTTTTACTTTTTCTTTATTTCTCTTTTTTTTTAAATTATTTATAATGTATTTATATATTATTAATTATTTTAATATTTTAATTTAAATCAAGTATGGTTAAATTTGAATCAAATTAAAATCAAGCCAAGTTAAATATGAAATCTTTTTTTTTTAAACTCAATTTGACTTATAAGTTAATACAGCTTGTTTGAAGTTAATTACAATATATCTTTGATTAATTATTATTAAACTGATTACAATATAAGTTCAATTATAATATATGTATATTTTTTAGTAAATAAAAAAGATAAATGCTAAAAGATCAAATTATAAAAAAAAAATTTGTTTTAATACTATTTAATCAAATTATAAAAGTTATATCTATTTTATATCAAGAATAAATTTTTGAAAATTTCAATTTGATTTTTTTTTTTCCATACTAATCCTAAATACCTGATTACTTTAAATCTTAGTCTTTTTAAAATTAAGATCATGTAAATCTAACACAAAATAATTATTTTTTTCATGTAATTGCAAACTGTTAGTCATTCAAAAAATTTAATTTTTTTTTTTTTTTTTAAAAAATAAGTTTAAAAGGTGCCAACTTTACAGAATTTGAGCGGAAAGGATTATTGAGAGATCAAGCAAATATTAAAATCTTTTATTATTATTCAAAATTAACGAATCTTGATATAATTACATTATAAAAATAAACAATGAGCATTTCACAATAAGAAAGGCCATTAAAATTAATGGAGAGGCGTTAAACATCTTGTAAAATTTTAAAGAAACTGACAACAGAAATACACTTTATATTCTGAGGATTTTTTTGGTTTGTTGAAAAAGGAAAAACCATTAGGTTTAAGAACTTGTGGGATTCAATTATCTTGAAGTGATAAATCCGCTTAAAATTATAAATATTTTTAAATTGTATTTATAATTTTAATAAAAAATGTGTGTTATAGTATGGTAAGAGATACTGATCCTTTAATTCAAATTTCCAGTAGTCTATATATATAAAATAATTTATAATAGTTTTGAATGCAGAACAAGAGCGAAAATTCAGTATTAAGCCTTCTATAGCATGCATAAAGTCCGGATCTTAATCTAATCGAACATCTGTGAAATGTTATAGAAAAGAAAGCTTGGACACATAAACCACATCTAGGGAATTAATGATAGTTTTTAAAGAATTGAATTGCTTATTAACCAGTGATCGGATAGAGTTGTGGAACTTAATATTTTATGGAAGATCCAAACACTGATCGACATGATCTTATTCTGATAAAACTTAACGGAGAAAAGATTCCGGTTGGTAGTATCCGAATCAAAGATTTCGATAATCAAACAGTAAACCACCAAGTTCAGTTTCATTTTTACCAAATATAAGATAGACAAGTTATATGTATTACTGTTTTTTTTACGATGTGGCACTGCCAATAACTTTATTACATTTATTACAGAAATACATAAAATAAATATTTACAAGTAATAGTAGTTATTTGAATTAACCTATCATTCGTCTTTTCCCTCCAGCACACCTAATAAAATCACTTTATAATCATAAATTTTATAATTACAATTAGACTAAAAAAAAAAAAAAAAAAAAAAATTAAAAGCCAATGATACAATTAGGAACTTAAACGTTTGAAGTGAGGGTATTTTCTTTGAAATTATCTTCATAGACAATCTTACAGGCATGAAGGAATCCTAATTTTTTTTGAAAGAAAATAAAAATTATTAGAATTATAAAACAGAACGAACTTTTCGCATTTTAGTAAATTACGTACCGGGTAAATAAAATAACATTGTTAAAATCATGTTAAAACAGAGGTGTTTATCACATCCTTTTATTAGCAAGACAAGAAAAGGTGGACAGATGAAGACGAAAATCATTTCGAAAAAAAACTTGATAAAAAATTTCGATTCATTTTTAGTCGTTAGTAAATATACAACTGCCGATATAATGGCTGCCATGATAGTCGCGCCACCTCCAATAATTGCTGCAATTATTTCTGGGTCCTACAAATTATTGAAAAGCAGAGTTAATAAAATAAATAAGCATTTAGTCGTTGATAAATGGGACTTACGTTAAGCATTACATATAATAATTAATTTCAGAATTTTGAAAATAAACTTGTAAAGAGTAATTAGTTACAAAATTTTAAACTTGTAAAGAAGATCAAGGTCCGCCCTTTTAAACGTTCTCATTCCTTTAATTCGTCATCTCTCTGCTTTTGTGTCTTCATTTAATTCATTTACGTTTTCTGAAGACCATCAAAGTTTCATTTGTGGCTTAAAAATTGTTGCCATTTTTATTCAAACATTCGGCCGGCTTTCTGGTCTTGGTTTCCCTTTATTAAGAAGTGTTCAAAGTTAACACGTGTTTCAACCTTAAAAACCTACATAAAAAGCATTCGCCATACCCCAGAAAAATGGGTCATGTTTGATGATCACTGTATAAATCAAAGATTTTCCCGAGATCTTTCATGCAATAGATACTCATTTAACATCATCCTTCCAATTAACTTTTCAAAGAAAATAATCTCACCATAAATGATTATAACGTAATTGAAACTCCGTGGCGTTTAAAGTAAACCGTGACATAGGTCATTTGTTTAATTTTCAAGTGCCGTTAAAATGACCAGTAAATTAATTTAAAAAATTATGTAATTATCAAACTTAATTTAAACTTAATTGATTTGAAGTAGGATGGGAAATAACAATTTTTGGTCATGAATGTGGATCGCTGGTTTAAATGTTGGATATTGAAAATCATTGATAATGGTGAAGATAACCAAGGTGAGTTTGAATCATCCAATTGTGACAAAATGGAATTTATTCTCCGATTTATCTTAGTTCTTTAATTATTAATTTGTATGTTTTACATAACAATCCTAATGAGCGTGTAATAATAAACTTTTATCACGGGAATTTTAACTTTTGGAATGACCCAATAACCGGAGCGGAGCTCGGCGTTTTAATTTCTTTCATAAAATCCTGTAAAAAAGATAACTATCAGATTTCCCATTTTAAGAATTTTACATATTAATACTCAATGGTTAGTCATAATAGATGAATCATTCATTAATAATCTTCAAAATTTTACCGGCCGAAGGTCGTACATGTATTGATACTTTGCGTTTTTATTTTTTTTTTTTTTTTTTTTTTTTTTTTGAAATCTGACAAAATGACTTATATTCTATAATTTTAAGGAATATTTTAAAACGATCACTTGACGCCATTTTCTCTTACATTTCCTTGTCTTTTTTTTTCTATTATCCAATTCTTTTCTTGTATTCCTATATTTTCTTCGTTTCCTTCTATGCTTGTATTTCCTCATAATCCTTTTCCCATTCCTTACACTTTCAAATATGTATTCTTATCATTCTCCTTCACCATGTTCTCCTTTATGATTCCTTCTACTCTGTCACCTTCCCTTCTGCTTCCTCTTCTTCCACCCTATTGCTCATTATCGTTTTCTTAGATGCCAGAACTAATGGATTTCAATCCACCTGACGTTTTTGTCAAAATGAAATGTAAGTAGGTACTAATAATATTCAGGAACAATTTCACCGAATGTATAGATTTTTTTCACCTAGATTTTTTTAATTATTATCTTAAAATATTAAAATTTTTGATTAAATGTTGCAAAAAAAATGTAGATAATCATAAGTTTTTATCATAATTCAAGTTGTCAGAATCCCAGAATTTGAAACTTTTATTTAACTTGAGAATTTCGCGATTTTCTGACATTTAATGTCAGACAATATCCCCCAACAGGACAAAATCCCGACAGCCTAATGCTGGTCAATTTATCACATGCATGTGCATAACTCTGCATAATGCTGGTCAACCTGTCGGGCAAATGTTCTGTCATGATTTTGTTCTGCTTGATATAATTCGTGTGTTTTTCAGCTAATTGTATCAATGACAATTATTAAAAAAATTTTATCTTTTACTTTATAGGGTTAATAATTACTAATCATTAAGATGAACCACCTTTTGCGTTAGGGTAGTCCCATATGATATTTTATTAAATTTGATGTAATTTTTATTTCCAAATTTTGTGAAAATATTATTATCATTATTGTATATTCATATAAATTGTTAGCATTGTTTAAATATTAATAAAACACAAGATGGTTTTGAATCTTGGGAAAAATGCCACGCGATTTAATTAATTCATCTTTTTGTGAATACAAATTTCGATAATCATTGTGCGACAGAATATTAAACCAAATGTTTTCAACAAACCTTTGAAGAAATGTCTGTAGTTGACTATAATTGTTTTCTGATTTTCGGAATGAAAATAACGAATCTAAAGGAGCACCATTACATGTTATAAAAATTCTTCCGATTTTGTAGTGTTAAAAAGTCCCGTGGGACCAGGTCCCATGAAGTTCGATCCAGTTAAAAGTCCTTTGAACTATAGGACTGCGGTTCTATATTAATTGGAACTTGACAGTCCTAAACTGCGGTTCCCATTTAAATTGGGACTTGCGGTTCTAGAACTACGGTCTTAATACAGTATATCTAAAATCGGATTATTGAATTCAATATTAACCATAATTGTTCAAAAAGAACGTTTCTCCTTGAACGATGGAATAACGTTCTTTAAAACGATGATGTATCGTTCTAGTTGAATGATGATGTATCATTCTTCTTTGATCGATTCATCTAAAATTTTTTTTTTAATATTGACTATAGTTCTAGGACCACAAGTCCCAATTTATAGGGACTTTGAACTGGGAGTTTCGGGACCGGACTGGATTATGAACATTAGATCTTTGTTTCCTCTAAAAAAAATCTTAGTTATTGGGAAATGAAGTATCGATCCGATCAGCATTATAAAAAATTTTTTTTCTTTATCTTATTATATCTCTACATTATTGTGATGAAAAGAAACAAAATATATTTTGATAAGATGGTTTTTTTTTTAATCTGAACAAATATCAATCCAAATTGTTTTAGTAATTTTTGTACGAGATTATTATTATTATTATTTTTTTTATAATGAAAATAAATTTTTTTTTATTTTAAAAAAATGGAATAAATAAAGAATTATTGAACACTTAATTTAATTAATTTTGGTGTTTTGTTTAATTCGTATTTACTTTCTTTTGAAAAATTAGATTGTCATATCCAAAAAGATCAAAAAATAACGGAATAGTGTTTTTTGATAATTTATTATTTTTTTTTTTTAAAAAAAAAAAATAATAATTCTCGCGACCTTATACTAAAATCACGCACGCAAATTAATGTATTAATAACTGATTTGGGAAAGGAACCGGAATCGGTTCGGGAAATTGTTGAAACATCAAAATATTTTTAAGGAAAATTTATTATACCATTGTAAACTGCTGATCACGCAATTGTGTTACAGAACTTGCCTTTTTAAGACTAGATTAAATTCTATAAGAAGGATGATTGTTAAGGGCTGAAGTTAAAAACAATAGTAGTTTGAAATTTTTCTCCGTGAAAAAAATCAACACCACACCTTCTAAATAATAGAGAGAGAATTAATGACAAAATGGTAGAAAACAACCCCGAAATTACTTATAATGATTTTGAAATGAATCTCACTCGAGAGTTACAAACCAAAGAGCAAAGAATTAAGGAATTAGAGCAAAGTAAAATGATTGCTGACGAAGAAAATCAATTGATACTATCCTTTTTATGGAATGAAATAGGTGGTGAGGGTTTAGATAATTTAAGAGAATTATTAGCAGGACGGAAACTCCCTGAGATATTAGCTGAATTAGATGACCGAAAGAAAGAATTATCAAAGTTAAGTTCTCAATTCGAATCTTTAGAAGAAAAGTTTAAAGAGAGAGAAGAAGGAGTCAAAGCCAGGCAGCAAGAAACCATTAATGTTTTAGAAGAAAATGTTAGGGAACAAGAAGAAGAAAACAAGGACAAGCAAAAAACTATCAATGATTTGAAAGAAAAGATTAGGGAGCGAGAAGAAGAAGTTAAAGCTAAGCAAGAAATTATTAATGGCTTGGAATACAAGATTGGAAAGCGAGAAGTAAAAATCAACACAAAGTTTCCACCTTTCAGCTATATCATCAAAATCATGATCATCGTCTTCCTCTTGAAATATTACTACTTTTACATCTTGTTCAGCGTCATCATTCTTATTTGCTTCAACTGGTACCTCGGAAAATTGTAATAAAGTATTTTGTAATGACCAGCTTTTCAAAGACAAAGACTATTAGTATTACAAATTTGAATTGGAAAAATTTACTAATTAAAGAAAGTTATAATTGATAATTAATATCAAAAATTAATATTTTATCAGCAAATTTAAATCAATAATGTAACCCATTATTTAATTAATCAAATTGCGTTCAAATTGAGAATATAGTGGTCTTAACTCATGGGATTCTCAATAATGAAAGTCATCTACGTTTCATTCATTCATTTTTTTTTAATGGGTGGACAAATAAACTGATAGGGTGGTTATATGGAATCTGGAATAAAATTTTTGATTTTTTTGCATAATAATTTTTTTTTAACAAAAAATCTGTTTCGACTGATTTTTCCATAATAATTAAATTTTATTTACATATTAATCAAATTCTTATACTACATTTTCGATGACATTGATATTTCTTTCTATTACTTTCATCATTGACATATATCTTAAAATCTATCATCATCTGTTGAATAAAATTAAAGCTTTTGAGGTTACACGACCTAATACATCATGACATTTAAGGTTGCCGGGCAAAACCCGGAGGTTTCGACAGGCATCGAAATCGAAACCCGTCGAAGCCGTTGAAACCATCGAAACCCTTCGAAATCGAAAGGTTTCGACTTTTGCCAAAGTAAGGGTTTGTGATAGAGAATGTAAAAAAAATAAATGTGACCGATCCGAACGAAATTTCAAATCATGGCATTATTAATGAGTCATGAAATATAACCAAAATAATGAGGCTACAATCAAAATGACCATTCTTAGTTAAATGTATATAAATTTACCGTATTCCTCCGAAAATAAGCACTATCACATTTTTAGTATCCGAAAATAAAATAAAATGCTAAAACAAACCCGATTTATTAAATATTTTATAAATTTCAATGTTTTTATTTATTTTATTTAAAAGGATTCTTTGCCATCAATATTTCTTTCATCATTATTAATGATTGCCGTCACCATCAATGCTACTATTATCGTCATTATCGTTCACCGTTAACACACCCGGAATTACCGCTAAATTATATCCACTTTCGCGAAACTTATTTTACGGATTCTTTTATATGACCCCTAAAAGAAACGTGTTAGAAATATAAAGCATTTATCATTTTTACATAGCTTCTGAGATTGAAAATTTAGCAATTTTGTTAGTACCCGAAATTAAGCATCTCTATAGCAAAAAAAGGGTGCTTAATTTCGGAGGCATACGGTATACATATAATAAGTAAATTTGTACTTTTCATATTAATTTTATCAAAAGGATTTATTTTGCGAAAAATATCGATATACTAATTTCTTTTTAATTAATTTTAATTACTTTATTTAAAACATTACTGTGATAATTAATTAATATATTTAATACAAATTTTATTAAATTTTAATTAATTATTTTAAAAATTTTATATTTATTATTTTATTTCAATGAATATATTTTATTTCAAACAATTATAGTTTTTTAATTGATTTTTATTTATTATATCTTTATTAGAAAAATATATTTTTATTAATTAGATTATTCTTATTAGTTATATATTGTTTAAAAATATCTAAATTAATTATAATATAAAAAATATATTAATATTTTTTTATTTATAACATTAAATTTTATTCTTTATTTTAAAGAATTTACAAATAATATAATTGGTATATATTAATTTATTCATTTAATTCAGTTATATTATTTTAAAATATCTTTTATGTAATCTATTTATTAATTACTATTAAGGTTGCTTATCTAAACTTATTTAGATTTAAAAGAATATTCTTAATTTTACTAATATTCTATTAAAGTTTTAATATAGCTAAATTTATCTTTTACTATTTAAAACAATTTGCAAAACTTTAAGTTTTATTTAACAAAACTTAATTATTATACTATAAATCTTTTATGTAATACTTCTATATTTTTATTATTATTGATCAAAAGCAAAAAATCAGATATGTAATAAATCAGCTTAAAATCAACCTAAAATTTGATAAATCATCAAAAATCAGCTAAAATTTAACCTAATTAATTAGTATATATCAAGAATCAGCTAATATTTGATCTATCTTATTTATAGCCAATTTGTATATATTAAAAATTAGCTAATATTTAACCTATTTTATTTATAGCTTATTAATATATTTATTTATAACTGATTAAAATATTGAAAATTAGCTAAAATATATCAAAATAAATAAAATTCAAAAAAAAAAATAAAACTAAAAAAAATTGTTAATGAATGTCAGAAGTTAAGAAAAAAAAAATTTAATATTTTTAAGATCAGAATATAATTACACAAAATATTTACTAAGTAAATAAAATGGATCACTAATATTATATATATATATAATTAAAAATTAGACTATAAAAAAATTTGAATAAACATTATTTATAAGCTGATTAGCAATAATATTAAATATCATAATAATATGAATGACTTTATTTTACTTGTAATAATTATAGCTATGCTCTATTTAAATTATTAATAGTTATTATATATAACAATTTTTACAAAAAAACTAACTAATAAGTAAATATATACTGTAACTTATTTTTTAAATATTATAAAATATATAACCTACTTTTTTTAAATTTTTTATTATTTTTTTAGAATAAAGTATTACAAAAATTGATGTTTAAATATTATCTGTATTGTAATTTTAAAAGAGAATTAGTAGTTAATGATAATGGTATAATAAAACATAATTCTTATATTTCTTATTATTTACTATATACTTTAATAATTATTTTAAAAAATATAATTTATAATGTATAGAATATAATAATTTTTAATTATTTGAATTTATTATTTAATATAATAAAATAACAAATAATTATCTTAGAAAAAACAAAAGAATGTTTGTAATATTATTTAACTAATTTAATACAAATGATATACTTAAATGCTTATTTAAAGTTATTTTGATCAGTTTAAATAATAAATATGTATTATTTATTGCTGATTATAAAATGAAAATTTTGTTAAAAACTGTTTAAAAAGTAAAAGCAAAATTTTTTAAAAAAGGTAATAAAATCTTTATACAATTTTAAAGTTTACAAAAAAAGAAAATTTTGAGAAATTAGATATAAAAATTTATAATTACTGATCAATAAATATTAAGCAAGATATTTAGTTTATTATATTTTCATTCAAATCTATTTTTAAAATAATAAAAATAAGTAAATGAATTAGAATAATTTTTAATAATAGAACACATTATCATTTATATTTATAATTATATATTAAAATAAATAGTATTAAATTAAAGTTTATAATTAGTAATTCTTTAAATTAGACAAAGTTAATACAATAATTAATCCTTATCACATTGCAATAAGTATTTTTTGATCATTATTATAATAAATTTCATTTTAAAATTATATTACCTTTTAGATTGCTTATTAAATTAAAAGATATATTTAAATTAGATATAATATTTTAAAAGTATAAATATAATAGAAATAGTTAAACATTTATCTAATATTTTATTAGTAAATTTAGAATTAAATCAAGATGAAAATCCAAAACTAACATTAAACTATAAAGAGTATTTCAAATTTGTTTTATTGAAAATGGCTAGTTTCTAATAAATTAATAGGTTATATATATATCTAATCACTATTTTTACCTATTATAATTATTAAATTTTGTATAAATCAATTGTTTATTTTTACTCAAAAATTTTAAAACAACCTAAACTTAAATTAAATTGAATAATTTTAATTTCAACTTTATCAAATAACAATTTATAATAAATATTTTTTTAAATTTATTAAAAAGCATTTAGTTAACTAATGTATTTTATAGAGATAAATATTATTAATCTTATTATATTAACATTTATAGCTAATAATAATGGTAATGATGAATTAGAAAATATAAAGTAAATAATATAAAGTTTAAAATGAATATAATTTAAATTATTATCTTATATATTTTATATTAAATTTGTTCTATTAATATAAATTTTAATTTTCTATAAAATAAATATATAAAAGCAATCAAAATTTAAAAGAAAATGGAAAAGAAAAAAGTAAGTAAAGAAATAGTAAAATAGTTTTTTTTAAATGAAAATCTCAATTAAAAAGATAAAATATTAGTAAAGAATATATATAATAAATTGCTAATATTTGTTAAATCGAAGAAATATAAGATTCGTTATTAAAGTTACTAGACAAAACCTAGAGATTTTATAAGTTATTTAAATAGAAAAAAGTAAAATTTAGTAAAATTATATTAAAATCTTATTAAAAAATCTGCAAAATTTTAGAAAAGATAAAACTATATCAAAGCTTATAAAAATGTGAAACTATATCAAAACCTTAGTAAAAATTTAATAAAACTATAGTTTAAATATTTTGCTAAATCTAAAATGAGTTTAGACAAGTAACCTTATTTGTTAATATTCTTGAATGATATTTTATTATTCAAGAATAATGTTTTATCGTTCAATTAGAACAATTCATTATCATTCTTAAATAATATTTTTTTTTATCATTCAAAAATGATATTTTATTATTTAATTAAACAATTTATTATTATTATTAAATAATAGTTTTTATCATTCAAAAATGATATTTTTATTATTCAAAAATTATTCATTATTATTTTTCTTGAACAATAGCTAATTATTCTTAAATAATTCAATCAGATCAGATCAGATCAAATGAAAATTTAAACAAAATCAGATTTTTGTTTAATCTAACATAATCCTTTTAATTCAGATAACTTGATTGATCTAATCTGAACTAACCTGTTCAGAGTTCTAGCTTTGCTAAATTATTTTTTTATTTAAGTATTATAATATTTTAATATATTTCTTATTATTCTAAATAATAATTCCTTTCAAAAAACAATTTAAACCAATTTCTGATAAGTATTAATATTGTAAAATCTGATTTTAAAGTATATTAAACCACTGATAATTGGATTAAATTCAAAAAAATTATATGTATCATTATTTATTATTTGATATTACTCTTATAT